CTGGCAGATGAGAGCTCCTCTGTCTTTCTGTGCCATTGTCACTAAAAGTAGGGGAGGATAAAATCAAAAGGACTGAAAAAGAAAATATAGAAACTAGTTAAAAGGAAAGCTAAAATAAAACAGTGCCAGTGCTAAGAAAATCAAATACTATTATATGCCTGACAATTCTGAGGGTTTTACTTTTATCAACTTATTTGATGTATCTAAAACATCGCTATTTAAGCATTATTATATTTTATAGAATAGAAAACCAAATGTAGAGGGATTTAGTAACATAAATACCACACAAAATAAACAATTAAGGGATAGCTTACCTATCTAAGGTCACTCAGACAATGAATACTGGAGGTAGGATTCCAACTCTGGTGATTTGTCTCTAAAATCTATGGTTTTTAATGATATCTTGTGTTAGATATAAAATTTGTATTCTTCAAGGGGAAATTCATTCCAGGAAAATGGGTGCATAAATTGCTATATTATTGCTATATTGCTATGGTATATTACATAAACACTTAATATTTTATATTTATTAATTACATAACAAATTATACACAAAATATTTTAAGTTGCTCCTAGACTAGTATAATATAGACAAAACTCCAAAGGAAATTGAAAATAGTAGTATTTTCTTCTTTATGTTTTTTACTTAATTGAAAGATGGTGAGAGTTGTCCACCTATTAACAATAACACGGCATGATGCTCTCATAGGAATGCCTTAGATGTAAGGGGACGTGAAAATAAAGTTAACACACACTGGTGCATGCTGAATTTTTCCTATTGTGTAACAGTTTTAATAAAATGCCATGACAAGAAGAAAATCTCATTTTATCTCTCAAGTGCTTTGAAATTCTCTACATTTTACAATTAAAGCAGTATTTATTGGTTTTTAGTAACTCTTTGGAAGTAACTGTTAGGCAGCTGGGAGATGTTCTGTTAAGACTGACCTTTACTTTTTTCTTAGCTACAACTGGGTTGAGAACCTCTGGGTTATTAATTATTAGTAAAGATTTTGTGTTTTGTCAGGTTCATCCTGTTCTCAAAAGCCTTTACTTCAGAAAATCAATTGTTCTCTCCTTTGAACTATAACATCAGTATGATTAGGTATGTTTTGTGAACATCTGTGAGGTATTTCATCTTAATAACCAACTGTGGTATTCTGAGAGCTGATGCTGTTAAGTGTGACATTTGAGGCTAATTCTCTTCTACTTCAATAAGTGATTTTGGGGGGTATGAGTTAGCGATGTAGTTTCATCTACACTGAAATAAGTGAAGATGAGATTTAGCATTTTTCTAACTAATTCAGTTTATGAAGACAATCTGTAAAATCAAATGAAATCTACTTTCCTTACACAATTCACTTCTGTGTAACTTAGGGTATTCCCCAAACAGCTGTTACTCAGGATCAATGTGGGTAATGTATAAATCAGGCTGTTCATGTATTATTTAGGGCTTGAATCAGCAAAGTCATAACCTTAAATGTATATGCCACTTGATATTTTCAAAAGCAATTTTTTCTTTATCTCATGTTCTTTAAAGGAAGGACACCAATATTGTTAAAAATGGAGTTTATATTTTAATATTATCCTTACAAAGACTGTTTAACATGGTTTGGAACTTCTTTGTCAAGTTTTTCCCTGTATATCATAAGATAAAATTGGCTCTTCTACCATAATTTAAACTATCAGGTAGAATGAAGTAAAGATAGTTTATATTAAAAGGTAATTGGGCCGGTGCCGCGGCACACTAGGCTAATCCTCTGCCTTGCGGCGCCAGCACACCGGGTTCTAGTGCTGGTTGGGGTGCCGGATTCTGTCCTGGTTGCCCCTCTTCCAGGCCAGCTCTCTGCTGTGGCCCAGGAGTGCAGTGGAGGATGGCCCAAGTACTTGGGCCCTGCACCCCAAGGGAGACCAGGATAAGTACCTGGCTCCTGCCATCTGATCAGCGCGGTGCACTGGCCGCAGTGCGCCGGCTGTGGCGGCCATTGGAGGATGAACCAACGGCAAAAAGGAAGACCTTTCTCTCTGTCTCTCTCTCTCTCACTGTCCACTCTGCCTGTCAAAAAAAAAAAAAAAAAAAGGTAATTGGCTTTTGTTTTGTATTTTAATGGAAAATTAAAGCAAGAGTTTTGTTTCTATCTTGCTAGGAGGATGGATTGCTATGCTAAAAAATGGAATTGTTTAACTTCATCACATTTTCAATACTAGTGATGATGAAACTTGTGACGCCTTCTATATTGGGATATATTTTTGAGTTTTGAGGTACAACTAAAGATGTTGATCCATAATCTGATATGAACTGGATGCAATATATTTTAGAACAGGCAATATTTATTTTTAATCTTGCCACTTGAAACTATTCTTTAGTTTTACTTTTAGGTAAGAAAAGAAATCATGATTGCTTAATGGTTGTTTCAGTAAAGAGTCTGGCTTTTGGTTTGCGTAAATGTAGGAAAGAGAATTAATCCCAACTTAAGAAGAATAATCCAGATAATGTATAACACTGTAAATCTTTTGAACATATAAGAGAGTTGATGTTGCTGAGAAACTTGTCAAATAGAGATTTAAGGAACAAGAAGTACCTTCATTGAGAGACAGGATGCCAGCATGAGTTCATGTAGAGTAGAACAAAGGAAGATGTGAATAATATAAAAGTGGATACGAAAGGTTCTAATAAACCAGCTTATGAGTTGCAAAAGACTGAGGCCATAATGAGCTATAGAAATCTTGGAAGCCACAGACACTAGGAGAGTACATATTGGCTTTTAGAATGTCTTTCATGGACCTTCTAAGATGCTCATGAGAACCACTGGTACAGAGATCAGAGGGAAACTTCACTGATGTTGCAGACAGGGAGACAGGAGCAAGCACCACAGCAGGGAAGGCAGGATTCTCAAACTTGAACTGTGTCCCCAATATAAAATAAAATATTAACTCCAAAGTCAAGACACTGGATGAAAACAAGAAAAGCTTGTCACCTCAATGTACATATGAAGATCAATTTAAACCACAAGGGAGAAAAGAATAAAACAAAATGAATAAATTCCCTCAAACTGTAAAATTCTTCAGTCCTAGTTGCAGACAAATAGAGAATTTGTGCTAATGGTAGATTGGATCATTTGTTCCGAGGCTGGATCATTACAAGGACAAATGCCCCATCTACTCTTCTGGGCTAACAAACAGCAAATCACAAGCAATGCCAATCTAGCAAAGGTATATAGACACACATTTTCTGGGAGCACCACTGAGATTTGAAAAATTCAGATATGTTCCAGGGAATCTAGAAGGTCACACACATATATAAGGCAGCACAAGATTCCAGGTGTTTTTACATGCTAGGAAAGACAGGAGAAAAACCTAATCTCCCATCTCAGACTAACCATGAGATTCTGCACAAACAGTAAGAGAAAGCTGATGCAGAGATGTAGACTGCCTGCCTGAGCACCAAAACTGAGTCACAACACATACACAGTCCATCAGTAAAGGTTTTAAAGACCTACTGGATACAGTCATTTAAGAAAATTCCTGTCCAATGATTAGTTGACTGTTAACCTAACCTAGCAGAAATTCACTGGCCACATACAGCAACATTAAGATATGCATTTTACAGAAATGCTTTAAGAAAGTCTCTTAAAAATAACTGCCAAAACAGCACATCACACAGGAAGAACAACCCTGTGAGCAAAGTGATCTGACTTCTCAAGTTGCCTATAGGATTTAAAATGTCCAGCATTTAGCAAATATTAAAGGAAATGAAGAGACACAAGAAAATATAGCCTATCAACTTGAAAAACTGTAGCTAAAGGAAGCTGTCCACAACAAAGTCCAGGGATTGAAATTACTAGAGAAAAATTTAAATTAATGATATTAAATATGTTCCAGAAAATAGAGGAAACCATGTCAAACATCTGAAGGAAATATGGAAATAATATCTCACCAAACAGAGACACTCAATAAGGTGTTATAATTTATTAAAGATGGCCAAATACCATTTCTGTGGTTGAAAATTATAATAACCAAATTGAAAATTTTACTAGAGGATCTCAATGGAAGATTTGAGCTGGCAGCAAAATTCAGACAGCAAACTTTTATATAGGTCAATTGAAATTATCCAATCTAAGGGACAAAAGGAATGAAGAGATTAAAGACCTATGGTATAGCATCAACTGTACCAATATACATGTAATCGAGACTATGAATGTGAGGAACAGAGAGAAAGAGCAAAAGGAATACTGAAGAACTGTCTGCAAGTTTTTCAACTTTCACGAAAAACACTAATATACAAACTGATGAAGATTTAGAAACTCTCAACAAACCAGGAATGAAATCTCTACTAGGAACATAAATATAAAACTTTTGAAAGAAAAAAAAAAACAATGAGACACTTTTAAAAGAATTAAAGGAGTGACTTCTGATGGACAAGAGATTCTCAATAAGGCTAATAGATAACTTCTCATCATAAATCAGGAAGAACTCAAAGCCACTGGGTAGCACATTCAAGGGGCTGGGTGACTGTCAGTTAAAGATGCCATATGCAACATAGTATCACTCAAATAGGAAAGAGAAATTAACATATTCCCAGGTAAATAACAACTTAGGGAAATGGTATCTGGAAGACCTGATCATTATAAAACAACTTCCAAACATCAATTTTTGAAAAAATAATTTTGAAAGTTATCCAGGCTGGCGCCGTGGCTCAATAGGCTAATCTTCCACCTGCGGTGCTGACACACCAGGTTCTAGATCTGGTCGGGGCGCTGGATTCTGTCCCGGTTGCCCCTCTTCCAGGCCAGCTCTCTGCTGTGGCCAGGGAGTGCAGTGGAGGATGGCCCAAGTCCTTGGGCCCTGTACCCGCATGGGAGACCAGGAGAAGCACCTGGCTCCTGCCATCGGATCAGCGCGGTGCGCCAGCCGCAGCAGCCATTGGATGGTGAACCAACGGCAAAGGAAGACCTTTCTCTCTGTCTCTCTCTCTCACTGTCCACTCTGCCTGTCAAAAAAAAAAAAAAAAAAAAAAGTTATCCAATCACAAGATGTCCTTTTCATTCCTATATATTTATATATATATTTGTATTCTATATTAACTACCACATATCAGAGAAAACACGTGATGGTTGTCTTTTTGGGACCCAGATATGCCTGTCTTGAAGTATTTGTCCCACCTCCTATACTAAAGCATGTGGATCTGAATGGATTATCACCTCACTGGACACACCATGGAGTTAGACTTCTGTTCAATAAAGCAAACTGTAAGTCAGAACTTGGTTCTCGTTTAATTCTCCAAACCTTTGATAATTTCCTTGAAGACTAAATCTCAGCCCAGACCACTGAGTTTCAGTTTCCTTCTCCAACCCCACCTCCCTGCCGCTTTCTTTCCACTTTGCTCTCCTCTCCACCTTCCCTTCCCTGTTCAAAATCAACCTCTTAGAGAGAGGGAGGGAGGAATGGAATATCAGTATATTCTTAGAATTGTATCTATGAATTATATTGAATCTGTTAAAAAATTAAAAAATAAGAATTCAATCTCTAAAAAGTTATTCAAAACATTTGAACAGATAATTTACATTAAAGCCACAGGGTGAAAAATAAGTACATGAAATGCTGCTCAACAATGTTAGTGATTGGGGAGATATAAATTAAGATCACAATGAATCAGATAAACCTATTAAACAGGCTTAAAGAACTGGTAGTGTGAAATGTTGGGGACAACACAGAGCAACTGCAGCTCTCATACTTTGCTGCTGAAAATGAAAGATGATTCAGCTACTTGAAAAATCAGTTTGTCAATTTCTTTTATAGTATGGCATACATTTAACATTACGCCTAAGAAGCCAACTCCTAAGTATTTTCCCAAGTGACACTTAAATTCACACATAAATATATACATTAATGTATGGATTTACTTATCATTTCCCTAAACTTGAGTCAGGCCAACTGCTCTTCAACAGCTGAATGGATGAACAAAATGTATGTTCACATGATAGAATAGAGGAGTTAGAGGAGTAAGGACTAAAAGGAAATGAATCATACATGCAAGAGCAACAAAGAATCTCAAATGCATGTTTGCAAAATGAAATAAGAAACTCACTTGAACTTTACGATCATTAAGAAACTGAAAGTAGATCTTTATAAAAATTAAGAGTGGGAATAGGAGAGGGAGGAAGAAGAAGGGTTGGAGCATAGGTTGGAGGCAGGGTAGGGTGGGAGGTATCACCATGTTCCTAAATCTATATATGACATGCATGAAACTTGTATAACTTAAATAAAATTAAAATAAGGACTTTACATGTATATTCCATCTTTATGACATTATGTAAATGGCAAAACAAAAGGGACAGAAAACAAATCAGAGAATACTAGTAATTAGGGGTGGAGGGAGGTATTGACTCTCAAGAAGCATGTTAAATTCTTGGGGGTTGATGATGATTTTGTATGCCAATTTTGTTATCGGTAGTGTTTCTATAATTGTAGACATTTTAAAAAAGGATTTATTTGAAAGGCAAAGTAACAGAGAGAAGAAGACACAGAGACAGTGACAGAGAGAGAAGTACCTCCATCCTCTGATTCCCTCCCCAAATGGCTCCAACAGCAGAGTCTTGGCCAGGCCAAAGCCATGAGCCAAGAAATGTATCCTCATTGCCTATGTGGGTGGCAGGGGCCCATGTATTTGGGCCATCTTCCACTGCTTTCCCAGGTACTTCGGCAGGAATCAGGATCAAAAACAGAATAGCTGGTATTGCAAACTGCTGCTTAACCCGTAGTGCCACAGTACAAGCACCTGATTTGACAAAAATCATACAATTATACACCAAAAAGAGTTTATTGTATATAAATTATACCAGAATAAGCAATAGATAAAAGGAAAATTTATTATTATTTTTTTTGACAGGCAGAGTTAGTGAGAGAGATAGAGAGAAAGGTCTTCCTTCCATTGGTTTATCCCCCAAATGGCTGCTGCGGCTGGCGCGCTGCGCTGATCCAAAGCCAGGAGCCAGTTGCTTCCTCCTGGTCTCCCATGCGGGTGCAGGGCCTAAGCACTTGGGCCATCCTCCACTGCCTTCCCGGGCCACAGCAGAGAGCTGGACTGGAAGAGGAGCAACCAGACAGAACTGGCGCTCCAACCGGGACTAGAACCCGGGGTGCTGGTGCCGCAGGTGGACGATTAGTCTAGTGAGCCGCAGTGCTGGCCAAAAGGAAAATTAAGAAGCACAAATGGGGAGCTGAAGTAGAGGGAATCCCTAAAAGTGCTTATGCACCAAGGCAAAAGATCATTTATTAGGCTCCTGTGGTTTGGATGTATAGTAGAATGTGGTGGGCCAGTATAGATACAAATAAACCTGTGTGCTAATTATTGAGGTATTCCAAAATGGATAAATTTCCACGGAGCTCATGGTGTTCTGAAGGAAACAACCCTTTTAATGAATAGCAATTAAATAATGAGGTAAGTGCTATGGAAGAAATAATAAACATGTTCTTGGATTCTGCAGGGAGATAAACTGGAAGACACAGGTGACATGCCAGAAGACTGGAAGAGACATGCAAGGAAATAAAGATTGTTAAAAAAAGAAAAAGGGGATAATCTGTGCAGCAAAGAGAGTTCTCATTCACTTAAAAAGTTTTAAAAAGCTAATGCATGCCTATTGGAACGCATGCCATGATACTGAGTTCAAAAAGATTATGCAGACTTTTACACAGAGGGGCCCTTTGCTGAGAATTACTTGATGTATTTATAGAAATGTTATTTGCATCAATAAGCACATATAGTTCTAAAAACAGCAATGTTAGCATATTGTGTACACTGTTTAAATATGACTGTTTCAATTAAATTGCATCTTCAAAGGCATTGTCTATCAGTATATAACTAATGATAATAAAAATTCATCACACTTTCGTTTGAATTTTCTGTGTTCTCTTGCTGATACTTTTAAAGTTGCTGATTACTATTCTGTTTATCTTTAAATCGTTGTGAACTATATTAAGATTTCTGTTCCTCTTGATAATATGTAATGAGTCATTGATATGAATAATATATACATCGGCTTTTTTCTTACCTGCATGCTCTCCCTTTTAAGTTCAACTTTAATAGTTTATATTGTTATATTGTTAGTTTGCCTTTTCCCTCCCTCTCACATACATTCAATGTCGTAACTACCAGAGATACAGTAGTGAAAAAAACAAGGAAATAAATCTCATGGGGTTTGTATCGTAGTGAGAAGATGCAAGAAATAGATAAATTCAAAAATATGCAAAAAATAAATGAAAACAATAAAGCAAGACTGAATGATAGGTTATGCCTGCAGAACAGGTACATTGCGATTGGAAGCAGGATCATCAGAGGAGGGCTCACTACTCAAGCGGCCTTTGAGTAAAGACAGGAAAAGGCAAAGGACTGAGCCTCTACATGTGCTTTTCTCTGGGAAGATTATGCTTGTTTTTCTTTTTGACTTTTTTATCTATTTATGGTTTAATTTCTCAACTTTTAACTGCAGGACTTTCTTTAGATTTTTCTTTGCTATCCTAATGTCTATATTATTTCCAAGAACTCTTATTTTATGAATATTCAATTTATGTAACATTCTGTTTTTATTTATCGTGTGCACAGTATTTTTTCCCTATGAAGTGATCACATATATTTCTAAAATTTCTTGTCTTTCCTGCATTATGTTTATTTTACTCTGACTTCTTCATTTCTGTTTTGGTCCTTATCTTCCAATTATTAAAGTTTTCTCAAATGTCTGAAGCAGTAAAAATTTAATGGACGTTAATGGGTGAATCCTTAGTGTATATTGATCAGATGAGGATCATAACTTTCCATCAGAGCAGTCCCAAATATCAACATTTAGGGCATTTAGCGGTATTTTGTCTGTGACCACTTGAGAGGAGAATATTCTGTTCTGCCTGGGAGGCTATGCACTTGGATGGCAAACATCTAAGGTTAGAGTTACATGTAGGGCTGAGAGCTTACATATTCAGTAGGCAGAATTTCTCTTCAGTTCTTTCTTCAATTTATATATATATATATATATATAATATCAATAATATATTTGAGAGACAGAGAGATAGAGTTTCCATCCACTGGTTCACTCCCAAAATGCCTGCAACAGGAAGTCTGGACAGGGCCAGTTCCATGACATGGGAATTCACTCAAGTTCTCCTATGAGAGTGACAGGTACTTAATTACTTGAACCATCACTAATCTCTCCCAGGGTCTGCAATAGCAGGAAGCTGGAGTCAGGAGCCAGAGCCAGGTATCTGATTTGGGATGTGGACATTCTGATCAATATCTGAAATGCTAGGCAAAAACACCCGTCCAATTGCCACTGCTTTTAAGAGAGCACATTTTCCTCTGGCTATCTCCTTTTGTGCTCCCCCTGGCTGTGGAGTGGCTAGATTAATTTCTGAAGAAATATACCTATAGTATTGTAAAGACAGTCCCCTGACTCATCGAGCTGGAAGGAAGGTCTGGCAGGTTCAACTTCTCTACGCATAAGCTTATTTAATCCTTGTTTTAAGCTTAAAAGCTTATCCTCAACAGATTCTGCAGCCAGATGAAGCTTGCTTCTTGGCTGGACTCCTTCTGAGCAAGCTTTTTTCTTTTCTCAGTTCTGCTGAGGCTTTCATCCACCTTTCCTCATATTTTAGTTTTGTTTCTTCCTCTGCAAAAATGTGAAAAATAACAGTGAATTGGAATTCTTCCGAGGATGGTTATGGACGTGAAATGAAAAAAAAAAATGCATGATAGCTTCGTCTAACCTCTCCAGCCTCCTTTGCCATTCTCTGTCTCTGCTCATGGCTCTCTAATTGCCCTCGTTTGATTCCCTTTAACACTGCATATTGCTTATTGCCTTGGGGATTGTATGTTACTCTTTCTGCCTAGAGTATATTTCCTATTTTCCTTCATTATTTTTAGTATAACATCTGATTCACCAAATAATGTATGAACTATTATGTAAATTCTAGAGCATTGGTGAAACATGAACAATAAACCAACCACTTGATCCAAAAAGTAAAACATCATCATCTACTTCATCTACCTTTGTGGAGATTAAATTCACCCTTGTTTTCTTCAAATTTAATCATTATCCCACACTCTATAAATAAAATCTTTTTCTTGTTTTAAAATATTTAATCACATATTTCTATGTGAGTAAACATTAGTTTGACTGTTGTTTTATAAATAGTATATTTTATTCAGTCTTATAGACTCTATTGTCCTCTACAGTATGATAATTTTATGTTTCATTCACATTTTCATTGCTATAAAACATGTTACTGTAATGGAGTTTCAAAATTATTGACCTGTTATCCTACCCTATATGTGTAAATATTTGTTCTTTTCTATTGTTGACCATGTTGCTATGAGCATCCTCCTGGTGCACACAGGAAAAGGAAAGATCTCTATTGAAGCTATAGTGTCTCAGAAATACAAAGCCCCAGGCTGAAAACAGAACCTGGAATTAAGAATTTTTGTTCAACTGAATAGGGACTTGAAAAGTTGCAATTTTTGTAAGTGAAATTTACATTTCCAGCATAGATCTCTATCAGTCTTGGACAGGAAAATAAATAATGCTGTTGTCAGGGATTTTCAGATGCAGCTGATCATCAAAATCACCAATTCTGTTCCTAAATTCAAACATAGTAAATCAGTGTCTCTATGGGTTCTGGGAAAAGATGATTTTTGAGCCTTAAATTGTTTAAGTGAACAACTGAAGAGCTACTGATGCATACTTCAGCTATTAGAAATCCTGTACTTGGCTTCATAACTTAAGAGTGTGGAAGGGTTCCTCTTGAAGAAGAAAGAACATGGAATTTATTCACCCTCTCTTTAAGCCATAAGGTAATGCATTTCTAGTATACAAATAGTTTTTCAACAGTCTAATTTGACTCATTACCATAAAATATTAATAACATCCAAGAATTAGGGGCTGGTGCTGTGGCATAGTGGGTAAAGCCACAGCCTGCAGTGCCAGCATCCCATATGGGCGCTGGTTCAAGTCCCAGCTGCTCTACTTCCAAGCCAGCTCTCTCCTATGGCCTAGGAAAGCAGTAGAAGATAACCCAAGTCCTTGGGCCCCTTGCACCCACGTGGGAGACCTAGAAGAAGCTCCTGGCTCCTGGCTTTGGATTGAGTAGCTCCAGCCATGTGACCAACTAGGGAGTGAATCAGCAGATGGAAGACCTCTCTCTCTCTGCCTCTCCTTCTCTCTATGTTTAACTTTGACTTTCAAATAAATAAATAAAATATTTTTTAAAAAGCCAAGAATTATTTATGAATTATTATATGATTTTTACAAGTTCAATGAGTGAACCAATGGAAGGAAGAACTTTCTGTCTCTCTCTCTCTCACTGTCTATAACTCTACCTGTAAAATAAACAAAAAACAAACGAACAAAAAAATATGGAAATAAAGTCAAAAGTATTGGATTTGAGGATTAACTCAGCTGTTTTCTAACTTTGGGGAAATTTATAGTATCTTGAGTATCATTTTTCCTAATCTGTTAAATGAGAATATTTGAAGGATGTATGTGAGTATGCATGTGTTTGGTCATCAAATAGTCACACATTAAATGTCTCTTTCTTTCTTGGGTGACATGTTATTAAAAGTTAGGATTACTAATATCATCAGCTACTTCTCTTGCTTCTCAGCATCTCTAATGAATGACAGGTTGTCAGTATGGTACAGTGCTTAATATATAACTAGTGTTACAATCCATTTGTAATTTCCTTTAGCAAACTATTAAGAGAAAGTTGTTAATGTATCTTGTCTTTATCAAACTAGTACAAACTAGTAGTGCTTTCTTGCTTTCTCTTAGAAAACACATCTTAGCTTGTGATGGTACTTATTTGACAAAAAGTTATTGAATACCTACTATGTCTCATCACTGTTCTTGTTTCTGGGAATATAGTATTTTTTTTTTTTTTTGACAGGCAGAGTGGACAGTGAGAGAGACAGAAAGGTCTTCCTTTGCCGTTGGTTCACCCTCCAATGGCTGCCGCGGCCGGAGTGCTGCGGCCAGCGCACCACGCTGATCCAGGTGCTTCTCCTGGTCTCCCATGGGGTGCAGGGCCCAAGCACCTGGACCATCCTCCACTGCACTCCCTGGCCACAGCAGAGAGCTGGCCTGGAAGAGGGGCAACCGGGACAGAATCCGGTGCCCCGACTGGGACTAGAACCCCGTGTGCCGGCTCCGCAAGGCGGAGGATTAGCCTAGTGAGCCGCGGTGCTGGCTGGAATATAGTATTAAAGGAGACCAAGTCTATGCTTTTTGGGAGGCTTCATAATAAGTAATTGAAGAGATGTGTGAATAGAAAATTATCAATTCATCTATGACTCATGAAAACTGAGTTTAAATATATCATAAAGATCTTAACGTTGATCATTTTTCTTTTAACATTTTTAGCATGAAAAATAAAATTATGCAAGTATGTAAATTTGATTATGTTTATCATAATACAGGAAAAATAAAAACCTTGGAGCTTTTCATTATTTTTAGTAAATCTTATTTAGTCATACTTAAAAAGACTTGAAAATAATATTGAGTTTTTAGTGCAAAAGTTGTTGAATTATTATAGGAAAAAATTCCAGGGAGTCTGCCACATGTAAATTCTTACAACTGCTTATAATCAAACACAACTGGAAAGTTTCAGATTCAGTAGAAAATAGCACTTTTTTAAGATAAGTTTGTAATGGCACTAAAAGTTGATTGCTGATAAAAACTTAAGTGGAAAAAAAGAGCAAACTTGTTAGGAGCACTGTTGGAAATGATGGCAAGTAGTACAAAAGTTTTCCAATCTCCATTCCTGAGTTCTAGAGACCAAAGTGAGGGACAGCAGGGCTAGTTTCTCTGAAGGTCCAGGATGAACAAAGATTCCCATTAGACAGAGTCATTAAAGAATAGAACAGCATCTGACTGGGTGACACACAGAACGCACTACTGCAAGGCAGCAAAATCAATCATGAATTTAGAATCATTCCTTTTTCAGCTGGAAATATAAGTAAACTAGAGTTTGAAATGGGTTTAAACAATTTGGGAGGCCTAGAAGGAAAGAACAGAATTAGACCTTGTAGACATGAATGTGGTACAGAGCATGGAGTGTCCGGGAACACATTCGGTAGGTACTGCTTCTGAGTGTTGCACCTTTTGGAGCCACTTATGCCTGCCTGGGGTAGGGCTTTATCACAAATACAGCTGGAAAACAAGGGTTAGGGAATGCTACTGAAATCTTGCCAGTCACTAAAGGGGCTTTTATATTCACAATTTTATTCTGTCTATATCCTTTAAGTGAAAAAAAAAAAAAAGGTTTGAAAGGTTGTGACTAGCAGAAGTCCCAGCAAGTTGGTAGGGGAGAATCAAATAATCTTCTGATTCCCAGTCTGGCATTGTTTTATACCCTATTCTCTCTTGTCACTTAGTTATTTTTCACAAGAATTCCAACATTCACTATTTTCTTTTTCCAGCTGAAGCCCTGAAACATTTAAATTGCACTATATTTATTTTGACAAGCCATGCTAGAAGAAGTATACATGACTTATCCATATCCAGCGTAACAACTACAGAAATAATATTTCTATCTATATTAAAATACTTAAACTGGTGGAGTCAAAGAAGTATTGGTGTCTAATAAGATGTGCAGTTGTGTGGGATTTCTTGCAAAAACAAATATTTTCTAAATTTAATTTTTCAGACTGTAAAAACTAAACTTGAATGGCAACATGTTCAATTTGAATATTATTAACTTGACTGTTCACCCCTGTACCAGTATAGGATTTGATGGTGCCTCTCTCTTATGACAAGGAGATAATCTCTAATAGGTTTATCAATGAGTTGACATAGTAAGAACAATTACAGGGAGAGTCAGATTCAATTCTTCAAGAGCTTAAAGAACTCACAGTGGCTAGAGTGCTGAAATTGAATAAAATGAGATGTTACGATGGCCATGGAGGAATCAAGACCATGTTGGACCTGAAGATATGCCAAGAATGTTCATCTTCATCTCAAATCCAGTAGGAAGCCAATGGAATGTTCTGATAAGAGAAATGTTTTCTGATAAAGTTAGGTTGCATTTTAAAATGAAATATCTGAGACTTTGAAAAGCAATGACTTTGAACAGCCCTCGTCTTGACTGTTGAGGAACAGTTTCTTTTTCCTCATACTATTTGTTGAACTCTTTATTTAACATAGAGATAATCATATGTGTATAAAGTTAATTGAAAATAGATCTTAGTAAAAAATAAGAGTGGGAATAAGAGAGGGAGGAGGAAGGGGAGTGAGAGTATTGGTGGACAGTGGACACAGTGGGAAGAATCATCATGTTCCTAAAGTTGTAATTGTGAAGTGTATGAAGTTTTTAACTCTAAAGCTGTATAATTCTGCATACACTTCTGCTGACTCACTTCTAAGTGTACATTTTAAAAACTTGTGATGGGATCCCAAATCTTAAGCTGTGTGGTAAAAATAGCATTTTAAGTGTTAAAGTGAGCATATGGATAGGATTAAGTGTTAAAGTGACCATATAAATAGGAACAAGTGTTTGATTCTAATAATAGAATTAAAAAGGAGTGAATGTTCCAACAAGGGAAGCAGTCCACACAGTAGACTCATAGAATGACAATCACTTTATATAGCACTCTGACCTCAGAATCAGCTCTTAGGGCATTCTGGTTTGGCTGAAAATCCTATGAGAACATTCCAGGCATGGAAAGCCAAGATATTGTGGCAAAAAGTGTCCTACATGAAGTACTTTTGTGAGTGAGGCCCAGAGGAAAGAAGTGGTCATCAAAGAAGGGTGTACTTTTCTCTGAAGTGAGGAGAGAACTTCCACTTTGCTTAAGACCTTGTCTAAATATTGAAGGAGTGTGTGAATTCAAAGGGCATCACAGCCTAGGTGAGCTCATGTCAAGAGCCTTGGGTGTTCACTGATGTCATACATAAGAGTATTAACTGTTAAATTAACAACAGGAGTCACTGTGCACTAACTTACCATGCAGGACCTCTGTCCTCAAAGAGTTGGATTATGAGAGTTAATAGTAAAACTTGTTCTCAAAGATTTACTTCGTTTTAGTGGAGGATATTCTTATGTCTCATAAGCTATAGTTATGTCTAAATGCTTGCAAAAGAGGTATCATTCTTGGGTTCTTCTTCAAAGTTGGAGTTTCTCAAAACTAAAGGATGTTTAAATATATACATGTATATATATATATAAATTAAACCTCAGAAAGGTTTGCTTTTATTGAATTAAATAGGATTTTTATTATTGTAAAAAAATCCTTCTGGTGTTCTATTGCACAGTAGGATGACAATAGTTAACAATAACATATTGTATATTTCTAAATAGCTAGAAGAAAGACTTTAAACTTCGCATTACAAAGAATTCTTGAATATATGAATAGTTGCTAATTATCCTAATTTGATCATTAAAATGTATGCATGTATCAAAATATTACATTGTACCCCACAAATGTGTAGAATTAGTGTGTCAATAAAGACAAATAATCTAATAAAAATATGAAATGAAATATCTGCTGATAGATTCAAAAGTTACTGGAAGGTATAAGGCTAGATCGAGGAAGCAAGTTAACAGACTTAAAGTTGTTTAGGAGAGGAACTGCAGTGTTTTTTAGTAGAGTGCTAGTATTGGAAGTGGAAGGGAAGAAGGGGATACGGTAAGCTCTGGAGGAAGAGATACCTGGACAGACTATTGGTTTGAAAGTTAGGAGAAAAAGGACTCTGAAATGCCTCCTAGATTTCTGGCTAGTATAACTGGGTGGAAGGTACTAGTTTACTGAGGCAGAGGACACTAGGAAAGAAAAGCGTGGTTGCAATATGGATCCTTATTTATCCCACTAGAGCAGTTACTTATGGATCAGAGCATGCAGTTTTGGAGTTATGAATAATCATCTAGTCTAGAGACAAAATTTTAGCAATCATTAAGTGAGCGGCAAAGTCTTCAGTGGGGATAAAGTCTCATGGAGAAAGTGACCCTGAGAAATAGTTCCAGGGAAAAGAAACTAAAAACTAGTCTTGAAGCTGCTAGGTGACATTGGCACTAAATTAGATTTCTCCTGCTGTCTCGTTCTCAGAATGGTTTTCCATGGCAACCGAGTTTAAATGATTCTGGTAGGTGAAGAGGTCAATATAATTATAGCCATTTGTCTTACTGCTCTTATTGTCATATTAGGAAGACTATATTTTTGTTTAGGAGGCTAATAAAGTTTGGTAAACCTTTCATTGTTTCTATTCAAAGCTGTTAAAAGATGTTTTGTAATCAAGAAAAGAATATAAAGTCAAATATAAGAAGAAAATGGTTACTATATAAATGAGGATTTAAAATTTGAATAGCAGCATATAAAGGTTTTTAAATATAAAAGCATTATGTCCTGGAGAACAAAATAATTCTAGATGAAAAGCTTTACCAAACTTTAATCAGAACTAAAATATATGACTTTGTGAAGTTCAACAAACTATCATATATTTTTGAAGACTACAGACATATATGTAATGATTAATTTATTTATGCTATTACATTGATTTAAATCTTGATAAGTAATACTCAGTGGTGAAGCAAACAACTCTGATGTGATAGTATTTTGACGTAGGCATGGTTTTCCCAGAGCAGCTTTAAACAATGGAGAATTTACACTCCTTGTGACGTTACAGATATTTTGGTGTCTCTGTTCACATGCCAAATTTTTGGCTAAGCATTAAATGGACTTCACTTTGATTTCAAGGAAAGATAAACATAATTGTAAAGGGTTCCAAATTTGTTAATTTATATTTTTAAAACATATCCTTAATGAGACATAATATCGTTCCCTTAAAAAATTATCTGAGAGACAATGAAAACCCCCCATTCATTGGTTCATTACCTAAATACCAACAATAGCTTGGGCTGGGCTGTGGCAGAAGTCAGGACCCAGGAACTCAATGCTAGTCCTCTGTGTGGTTGACAGTGATCCAATTACATGAGTCATCACCTCTGCCACCAAGGGGTGCATATTAGCAAGAATCTATAGTCATGAGCAGAGCAGGGTACCATTCCCAGGTGCACTTACATGGACATGGGTTTCGTCACTAGCATTTTAACCACTAGACCAAATGGCCTTCTCTCTTTTTTTTTATTTGACAGGTAGAGTTAGACAGAGAGAGAGACAGAGAGAAAGGTCTTACTTCCCTTGGTTCACTCCCCAAATGGCCTCTGTGTCCAGAGCTATGCTGATCCGAAGCCAGGAGCCAGCTGCTTCTCCTGGTCTCCCATGTAGGTGCAGGGTCCAAGCACTTGGGCCATCCTCCACTGCCTTCCTGGGCCACAGCAGAGAGATGGACTGGAAGAGGAGCAACTGGGACTGGAACCCGGTGCCCACATGGGATGCTGGCGCTGCAGGCAGAGGACCAACCAAGTGAGCCGCGGTGCAGGCCTCCTTACGTATCTTTCTGAGTCAAATGCTATTTTGAAATGAAAATCAAAATGTTGACATCAATGATTCAATTTTAATTTTAGGCCTCCTGGAATATATGGACTGGAATTGTAACCTTTAGAAATCCATGCCAATAATGCATCACAAAAACTGAGAAAAAATTACATCTTAAATGTTCATTAAATATTTACTACATCTCACAAGTTGGTTTGAATAGCTTACGTTGATTTCATAGAAAGATCAAAGTGCATATTTATCTGAGCTCTGAGCTCCTGACTGTTATGGAGTGTGTGTTCTGAGATAATGTGAACTAGCAGATGTTGAACAGCTCCTCAAGTACTCGTGACAACACAGTAGGTTGTTCATGCGTGGAAAGCTAATAACCTGGCACAACATTCCATTTTGAACGAGTGAATTCTGCTTGGGATAACAATGCTCCGAGTTTCATAGTAAGTCAAACACTTGACTTATTAAAGATGCTAACTGTTTTCAAATTTTTATCAGGGAATGTTTTCTGCTTCTGGAAGACTGTGAAGATGACCTGTCATCCCATATAGTTATTTTCTCATTGCACTAAATCCAGCTATTTCATGGTGCTATTAACACATGGTGATGTGATAAAAAATGTATAGTTTTATAGTTTCTATCTCTGTCTCTCTCTCACACACACACATAACACACACACTATGTCATAGATTCTTTTAGCTTCAATAGACCACCACTTTCATATTCTATATTTTGTCATGTCTTTTCATGTACAGACTATTAGAACCATTTGAATTAATACAAATCGGGGAGAGAACCAGGAAAACCTAGTAATCTTGTATGCATGGTCTATAGTTTGGCAAAGCACAATGATCTCCTCTTGCATCAATAATTTTGTTGCACATGTTCCTTAGACTGGTTTTCCACCATGAAGGTAGCCCCAAAATGACTGACAAAATATTATTTTAATGTCTTGCTTGGATTTTACTCTTCCTGGACCTGATACTTCACAGACAGATTTATGTTTCTAATTACTATTAGTACTATGTTAATGCAAGTTTTAAGTTTGAACATTAGACACTGTCACTTTGAAGAAACACACCAAGGACTTTTTGTTATTTGCTTATCCAGAAGACTAACAATCTATTTGAGTTCATGCTGCTGGTTATGAACTTAGATAGTATAGCTCATAGTACATTGTAGGTTAAAAGTTCTGAACAATGGAATTATGACTCATTATCAGAACTGCATTACTCAACATGAATTACTGATAACATAATTAAGGTCACCGTGTAATATAAGTTAGCAAATCCGAACAATGGAGTTGTGATTCTTTGAGTAACAAGTGTTTCTGACAAAAAATATACCACTGGGAACATAAATTACTAAAAAATTATAAAAGCAAATCAAATTAGAATAATTTACCAGATTATCATTTTGGCTATTACATTTTACTTTGCATTCAGATATCAATTGAGGGGAAAATATAATATTATAATTATATATCACAAGAAGTTGGTCATCAGCCTGGATACCCATGAGAAAATGTCTCATGTATGCCATATATATATGGGTGGAAAAATTTTAGAAAATTTAGAAATTTAGCCCATTTGGGATGCTATCAC